TCCTTGTGTTTTCACCGTATGAGGCCCTTCTTTCTGTTGTCTTCCAATTGATCTCGTGTCCAGTCTGTTCAATATATTCCTCTAATTGTGATCTTTCGGTATTCATTTTCTTGACGCACCTTTGATGTTCCTTGATTCGTATGCTAATTTTTATCCCTGTTTCGCCAATATTTTTCTGTTTGCACACGCCGCATGATATACAGTAAACTGCTGAACAATCCAATTTGTCTACCCTTTCATGTAGCGTCGGTAGACGTGTGAAAAGTGTTGATTTTTCTTTCATGGCCTTCCGAACATTCCATTTCCTCAATATTGGTCGTAGTTTTTGAGTTCGTTCACAGGAAGGTGGGCATATCCGCTTTTGTGAAACCTTCATCTTCCTTACTGTTTTTTCAGTCTTTCATAACTACTATCGCAGAGGACTTCGGACCAGGTACGTTCTACTAAGTCTCCCGGACAACAATACCAAGTTGCGACAACGAGGTCAACCAACTTCTATAAATTGAAAGGAGACTGCGACCAAACCGGAGGCCACGCCATCTTGGTATTCATATCTTCAAAAGGAATAATTTCATATAAATTGATTTAGTAAATTTTATAATCATATTTCTTTACATGCTTCTTCCGAAAATTCATTTTAAAATCTCCTTGCTTACTTCATGTCGATTGTACCTCTACGATTTATTACATTAACACTTTCAACACGTATTTAGCAAGTAATTAATGTCGATTAAAGAAATCTGTCAGCTTTTGTATCCAATATCCCCAAGTTTTAAACAGTTTTTAATACCTAACCTTACATTCTCTTTTATATGATATAAGTGTATAATAGGAAGTGATAGAATTGATAAATTTAGGGATCCTCATTTTGCCATGAAAGTCATAACACATAAGCGCCTACTCGGTCTTGAGCGGATTGCATATCTGACTCCAATGGCAGAAAATTGCAAAATCGAAGTCAAACAAATATTAAATATGGTTTCATTTAATTGCTTTAACCAGGTATTCATGCTTTTCTTCCTATTTTTTCTTATTTTTAGTCCTGTACTAGTGGTATTACTTCCGCGACTTCCCTTCCACTCTCCAAATCTTGTTCGCGCTCTGGAGCTGGTCATACTGGAACTTATGCTTCCACTGCCGTGAGTGACTTCGACCATGGCCAGGCGATTATTCGACACCTAGTTCGCGAGCGTCTAGTCAACCTGTTTTCTGACCCTGTCAATTTGGTGCGTCGTAGTCTAATGGAAACGGGAGGCCTCATCAAGTTAGCTGGATTTCTAGGCCGGTCTTGGACCAATGACACTTTGCTTTCTCACATGGTTACCTTTCTCAACGATAAGGTAAGATCTATTTCTATCAACTCCTAATCATACTTAGTTTGTCATAATCGACATTCAACTTTTTGATTTGGGGTCCCAGCCTTTGTGGCCTTGCCGTATAAGTTTTGGTTGAAGCTAAAATCCATAGAAATTTGCTAGCATATTCTTATTCGGGATGTATAAATGATACTAGATTAGTCCTTTTTAGTAGCAAAACGCCATTTCCTTCGGCTACTTACATTAGAGTACATTCATCAAGGTGTAAGATCCTAAGCAGATTTGAAAGACTGGATAAATATTATCTCATTTAACGAGATGATTCATATTCTTATCAGATGATGCAACTATCATATATATTTTTTGGTGATAGTAATAATGATACTAGTATAGTATTGCAAAATCATTTGTTGTTTCACTATTCTACAAAGTTTTATATACACACTAATATACTTGTATAGTTTATACGTGTAGTTTTATGATTTCAAAAAAAGCCATCCCAAAGCAATTTTTATAATTCCACTGTCACCTTTGTGTAATATGTATTATTATTTGGCGGACTTTCATCCAGTGTGAGTGTCCGACGGAAATATTTGTAGGCCACTTTCACCACCAGCAGCAACCTCCCCTACGTATTTTGTCATTTGATTTTCCTAGAACATCTTCTGGCACAGTCATCGAGACATCTTCTTTCGTTTCCCGTTAAATCGTTCCAGACTATCGTTAATTTTATTAGTTAATGTGATTCCACATTTTAACTCGAATCAAAAGTTGTTTGGAAGCTTTAATTGGCCTACCATAGACCGAATGAAGATTGCCAGGAGCAAAGACTTGGATTGGGCTATAAGTACTCGGCTGACCGCCCTGGGACTCCGATGAATCCGTCCTTTTCTTATATCATATCATTTGACTGAGTTCGCACGAACTTCACCTAATTCGTATACAAGCTCTTAACTAACCTACTCTTGTTTATATACTATATATTCTGCGAAAAAAAACAATTTTTATAAGATAAAGCTTGACTTGGTTATTTCATTTTCATTTTCTCCTATGTATACCTAGACTGTCCTGTTAAGGTATAACTACGAGTCCGTTTTCACAACTTATAAGTGTGATAGACACTTCAATTGCTTTGTTTTAGAATGATCCCGGTCTCCGTGCTGCCTTCTTCCAGCAAATTGGCCCTCTTGCTTGTTTGGCTGGGTCTCAGTGTGTCGCTGTGCTTCGGCCTTTACTTGAACAGGGCTTACTCGACCCCTCTGAATGTGTACTTGAGGCCTGTCTCCACGCTCTGACACACCTTCTATACCGTCGGCTTCTAGGGCCGGTCTACTCTTTGTCCTTCCTTAACCAATGCCTTTGCCTAACATCTCATCCCACAATGCGCATCCGACAAGCTGCTGTTGCCTTTATTGCACTCACTACCAGACAGGCTCTCGGCCCTTTGCTCGGCTCGGGTGATTGCGGTAAGTGGTTTTTGGTAAAATATTCCCACCTTTGCAAACAACTTTAGCAGAGATGAAATTTCGGAATACACATATGAATATGAAAAACACTAAGGTCATTAAAATTTATTGCCTTAGACGAATATTTTTTGCGCTATCAAAACCATAATGAGTAAGAATTATGAAGAGCTAAAAATTTAATTTTCCCAAATTACTATCATTAGGCTTTACGATGCCATTGAATTTATCCTAGCCTTGTTTCAAGGAGTATTCTCATTCAGGGTGAACTGTAGTTTTTACCTCCCTTTGGTCTCACCAGAATCCTAGACTTAAATTAATCCCGGGTAGGGTAGAATGCATTTTCCATTTATTACTACTACGCCACACTGCCACGGGCGTCAGTTGGTCATAGGACAACACGTGTTGGGGGCGCTGACGAAACCCATGGAAGGTCGAAACTGCAGTCCACTCTGTGTGATATTATCTTATGGGGGGCAAGGCTATGCAAAATCCACTGGCATCATTAGGTCTGCTCATATAATTGTGGGAAAAATCAACTATCAGTACTTCACCACCTAATGCGACCTAGGATATATTTACTTCTTATTCAAGATAGTCTCGAAATCTACTTAATATGAATATGCTCAACGATACTTATTCAAAGCCTTTAATGGACTTTA